CAATTTTGAAGTCCCATAACTTTTTTAATTATGTAAATATAAAAAAAATTCACAGTATTTTTTCTTAATTTTTTGATTAAGCTTATGTTTTAAATAGAAAAAGTAAAACTCTTCAATTTACATATTTTTTTATATTTATGTATAAATTTTGTGTTCCTGTTGCAAATGCATATATACAGCAGGAATCTAATATTAAAATATATTCATATCAGTATTTTCTATTCGTCGGCCTTTATGGATTCGGCCAAATTTTATTACTTGTTTGCAGTGCAGATCGTTGATTATGTATAAAACAGTCTAAAATGCAAACTAGCTACTGTCGAATTAATAGGGGTGACGACTAATTTTTGTTTGTTTGTCCGTCAGTTAGAGTGTTAAAAAATATTAAACACGTATTCTTTTATTTTTTTTGTAATCATAAAATTACGGCGTTACATGGAGTTGAAATTTCGCATGACGTCACGTTAGGGTACGTTTTCTACTCAACTTTGACGTAGCGAGCCCCCACTCCTCAACTTTAATGCCTGTTATCTAAGCTATTTCTTGTTAAATTGAAGTAAAATAAAAATACGTATCTAATATTTTTCTATTATCTGACTGACGGACTAAATAAAATTGCATTTTTTTTACCCAGTCGTCATCCCTATTGCCTGTTAAGTATACAGCTCTGTATGTCCTACATAGAATGAATGTTTTTAATTTAGAACTGTTTGTTTGGAAGCCATGTTTTGTGTTTCTAAGTGATAGTGATGAGATGCCGCGTTGGTGACGTCTATATATGGCTTCATATTGTTTACCTACCTACATCCGATGATATATTTTTATTTATTAACACAATTTAGATCGCCATCAAAATGCTTTTCGATTGGGGTGTGTGAGCATTTTGGCTTTGATGAGTTATTAATTTCCCTTAACAATCACGACTTCTCTGTAGGTAGAGGCTGTTTAAATTTGGGTTCTAAAAACGCTCTCGAGATTGAAAGTTTAAGATATGTCCTGATAGGTAATATGACACACTAACATAATGTAATACACTCTTAAATACAATGTTCTGTGAAAATCTTCGATCAACTCTTCATTCTTGGGTATATTAAATTGTTCATTTTTCACATTGATATAAAAAACAATATTCATTTGAGTACTGTTTGTAAATTTTAATTTAATACTTAATTGTTCTCTTGCTCTTGGTAACACCAATACTACCGTGTACGGTATATATATTTGACTATATATAAGGCAGACAATAATGGTCACTAGCCAAATGCAGTGGCCAAATCCGCGTCGTCTGCCTCTTTGTGTTTGTTGTTGTGGGCCTTAGATTATCCGTAGTCGTTAGAAGCCCGACCGCAAAAAGTACTTTATTATTGTTAAGAAAATAATGTTATATGTTATGGCATGAATATCTATCTAGAAGCTTGACTCTTTGCCTGTTAATAGCTTAAACAGCCTGTACAGCTGTAGTTTCATCTCCGCAGCCGCTCATCACTGTGCCGCCGGGTGAATTTTATAATAACAACGACAAAACAACACGGAGTTTTTGACAATGCGACCAACAAATGGAAACAGTTCGTGCCTCCGCGGCGCGCGCCCTCTCGCGTAATTGCTTCAATCTAGTGCCGAACACGCGCCGAGACTATTTATTTATTTACTTACTATTTACTCTGCAACAAGAGTGAGAGAGACGCCGACGACGAACAGAGCTTTGTCAGTTACTTTTTTAGGTGATTGACTCCAGTCATTTGGCGTTTGACAAAGTTTATAAACCTGGAAGTTGCTTTCTGTAGATGCAGTAGTTGTTGTTTTCACAATCTTGAAGTCAATAGGTAATGTCAATCGTAGCATAGTAAAAACATTGGGAATAACCGGCATTTGTGTCTCTGTTATAAAGAAGGTATAATTATAATGTTTGTACCTACTTGTACCAAAGCTGTTGTTTGTAAAGAAAATGGAAATTCAATTATTGATTTTTTTAAATTTTCTGTTAGATTTTTAAGTTCAGTACTACCGCCTAACTCTCTAAGCATGTTTCTAGTCATAGGTTACTATATCTCAGCGATGGTAAAGCGATATGTCGTCTTATTTCACTATTTTGACATGTACTTTAATAACGACGAGCGATTAATAATGAACTTTGATTATGAATTTGTCAGCAATGTTGCCAACTTATTTGGTCGCACCCGCAGTGTCTGAAAACAACTATGAAAAGTAAGATTCTTGCTAACCGGTCTCCTTGTAGGAGAGAATAACAGTGGTGGCGTGTGGTACGTGCCTCTGATCTACGGTGGTTGTTAAATATTTGCACGCTGCTACTAAACATGGCAGGGCCACGGGCGGCGCAGCGTGAGTAGGGTAGCTCTGGATACAGAATTGTGTAGGATATAGACTTCACGTGTATACAATCATAACTTTCCGTATCTACTACAACGGTAAATCAGATGTCAAATTGCAAAACAAATAGCTGAAGCATTTTTATTTATAGATATATTTAAGTGTTTGCTTTTTTTACAATTGTCTTTTTGTAAAGTATCGTAGAAGTCTGTTTGAATGAGTACCGTATTTCTAGGGTATAATATCTTTGTCCTGTGTTAGTGTGATGCATGGTGGCCATAGCTGGGGCCCATCTATTGGCCCAATCGTGTGATAAACACGTCCCGCGGTCACCCTCCCGCTGATGCCGTTATAGCTGCCCTCTCTGTTGTGTTCTGTGTTCTATGTACATACCTACACTGCATGTCTATTTACTTCACGTTATGTAATTGTGTTGTTTCATTTTATGTGTAATGTTATTGTATTTAAGTTTCATATACTTTGTTGGAAGGTTTTAGTTTATGTGATGGTATGTCCAGCAGATTGTTATCGGTGTGTTCGTATGAAACCTATATAACTTAGACTTAACTTTCTATAGACTTAAGAGTCGATAACGTAGAAAACATCAGTTATGTGATAACCTCAAAATATAACTGTACGTATTGTTGTGTGGGTTCATCATATGCTGGACTAATTTCATAAGTTTGTTTAAATTGACTTAAAAATATGACGATGATAGAAAAAAAAATGTTATTACTTTGATTGCGTTCTTGAGAACACACATAGCTGTTAGTGAGGTAGGTATAAGGTTATGCCTATCAACCTTGTTATTCAAACTTTTATAATATAGATGTTTTTTTTAATGTAGGTATATTTATACAAATGGACATGTTTGTGCCCTGGATTGTTTCGCATTAGCGTTAATATTTATTAAACGATATTATAATTCGGACTGTAACATACGTATTTTGTATAGTAACCGTTTGATAAACCTTTTTTTTTTAATTTATAGGTAAGCTACACAATACAATACTTAATAATGTGAACATTATAAAAATATATTGTAGATTTATCAGAAGACAGTGTTTTAGTTATAAATAAATAAATATTAGATAACAGTACAGATTCCAAGAGCCCTGTATTATGGAGTATGAGACAATGAAGGTACCACAACATCGAGACCCGAGATAATACAGAAATGTCCATTACTACATTGATCCGACTGGGAATCGAATCCGGGACCGCAGAGATGGAAACACTTTAAAAACGGGGGTCGAATCACTCGGTTGGGGAGTTTCTCTTATATTTAGCTGCATAGAGTCAGCTGCTTACAACCTGTAATTCATAACGAAATAGCTGTTTTCCCGCGACTTCGCCCGATTAAATTATAGCCTGTGTCAACCGCTATGTAACTTCCCGTAAGTGAAAGAATTTTTAAAATCTTAATTATACAAATATTAGTATGGGTAAATAATAAATTTCAATAAAATCCTTAATTAACAAAATACCCATATGATGTAATAATAATATGTTTATATACTTCGTCTATATAGAACTATGTAGTCCGTAGTCCGTAGACCGTAGACAGCTACGTAGGCGTGGTGGGGGGGAGTGGCATAAGTAATCCTATTTGCTCGCTCGCACTGAAATTCAGACGGCGTTCTCTATTTTAAACACACTTTGGAAAGTTTTTCTGGAAGCAAAAGAAATATGTTAAGATTGTAATTACATTAACCTGTAGTGAAGGATATTTCTATATTTTGTTAGTACTTACTTATTACAATTGCAGTTTTATGAAAGGACGATAGTCGTAGGATAGGTATTAAATAAAACGGCCAAAGGCAAAGACATAAAAAGGGAATTATTATAGAATAAGTTTCATAGAAACCAGTGTATGATTACAGCAACTCAGCATATTATTTTATGAGGACTAGCAGGTGCATCTAGTTTTTGCATATTGCAATTTACATTACATTTACAGCGAGTGAAGTCAATGTTGAAAATTGTTCGATAAAGTAAAATGTAGTAGAGTGAAGTACCTAAGTGTTACATCCAATAGAAACCGAACTTACAAAAACATCAATGAATTCATGATAAATTATTTATTAAATCAATTGTAAATCAAACTAATTAGATCTCGCACCGACGTAGCGCTCGTAAAATATATTTACACTGCATTAACATTACATTATGAACTACGTCATCCGAACCATTAATAAGCACGTCAGCAATGTGTACAAATTTGTCAAGTCGTCTAACGTATAATTTGTCACGAGAACACATCTGCTCCAATGTTTAAAAAACACTATTAATAATTACACTCTCGATCCATTTACAGCTATTTATTAAATCGAACCGGTCGCACTAAATATGCCCTAAACAACGCGTGAAAAATCACAAAATACTTAATGTTTACCGCGTGTGTCGGATCGGGTTAATTTTTGCTTTTTTATATATTCAGTGCAACCCTATCCGGCTTTAGAAAAGCGCATTCCATTGCGTTACTTGTTTTAAAAAAAGTCGTGCTCGTTTTTATCGATGGTTTAACAAAAATGATATTTATATCGATGGTGGTAGAGTGCAATATGAATGTGGATGTTGCGTGTCGGTGTAGTGTGGACGTATCGAGGGGTGTGGCGACACGGAGGCGGTGCGCGGGGCGTGGCTGCCGCGGTGCGCTCCGGCGCCGTTTAGTTGGGAGCGAGCGGCTCGCAATGCCGCACCACTATGAGTCCTCCGCACAGTTTTGCCATCCGAGACCTGCTTCCAGAAGCATCGTCGCGGTCTCCGTCGCCCTCGGACACGGAACTAGACGTCACGGGCACGGAGACACCACCTCCCGGCTCCTCGAAAGACTCGACCGAAGATAAGAAGAAAAACGAAAAGCCCGCGTACAGTTACAACGCGCTGATAATGATGGCGATCCGCAGCAGTCCAGAGAAGCGGTTGACGCTCAACGGCATTTACGAGTACATCATGAAAAACTTCCCGTACTACAAGGAGAATAAACAAGGTTGGCAGAATTCTATTAGGCATAATTTGAGCTTGAACAAATGTTTCGTTAAGGTGCCACGGCATTACGACGACCCGGGGAAGGGTAATTACTGGATGTTGGATCCGTCCTCGGACGACGTGTTTATCGGTGGGACGACCGGCAAGTTGCGGCGGCGGTCGACGGCGGCGTCCAGGTCGCGGCTGGCTGCGTTCAAGCGCGGCGCTTTGTTGCACCCTGTATTCGGGTCCCCGTATGCGTCCCTCGTGGGGCTCTACCCGCCCCTGTTGTCGGTGTATGGACGCTATATGCCCGCGCCCCTGCTGCGCTTGCCACCGCCACCTTATCACCAGTTGTACCGACGGATCCACGGCTTGCCACCCAGCCCACCGCAAGATCCAGATCCTCATATGAAGCATAGTTGATAGAAAACATGGATTGTGCTCTGAAAATCAAAATTTAAGGGCATAGTATTCAGTGATGGTAATTCGCAACGAGCGGATGGACGTTTCTGTTAAAGAATTGCGAATATAAAATGTGTTTTTCTTCGACTAATGAAGAATCGAGGACTAGGCCTGTCCTAGTAATGTGTTTACTACCGAACAGGCCAAGAATTGTGAATTATTCGCTATTGACTGTGATAGGAGTGTAAAGTGTAGTGTATTATAATAATCGAGTAAACTGTATCATATGGTATCGCTATTTATTATTAACTTAAGATTATATTTAACGTGTTTAAATTAAAAATGTTTGAGAGATCTGAGCTATATTGGACGCAATAAAATGTTTATAGGCGGATTGCTTAAAAGATGTTTTTTTTACCCTATTATTTTGTAAAATATCGCATATTGGTCATTCACCATAATAAAAAAGAAAATATCATAAAAATAATTATTATATTTCATAAATATTACATTTTTTGATAAATGTTTTGGGAAAATAAGTTTAACCGTACGAAAAAAAAAATTTTGCTTGTGTAAAAAATTTACTCTAAAATTCCAGATTTTGATATAATAAGTAATATAAAACTATATTATTAAACCGCTTTGCTGATCTTTCGATTTATGGGAAATTAATTATTCACTTTTATTGAATATAAATTGCTATTTATGAACATAACATGTATTTAATAATGTAGTTAGGTATAATAATCAAATTTTACAAATGCACCATATTTCATATTAAAAGATACATAAATATTTGATTATATAAAAATTGCTTAAAATTTAAACCACACGAAAAAGCTTTTGGGAATTTCCGAATGAAATGAATTAGGAAGTACTCCTCCGCTTAGAATTTTTGACACAATTATGGGAAATAGATAATATTCATATTATATAAAAAGAGTCATAAATATGACTTTGATATGCTATACTCTACTTGTTTATGGAAAGAATTAGCGACGAACTATTCGGACATGGGATAATACTATATAGAATAGATACGAACGGTTTTCAATGATATCACGATCTGCGTGTGGAGTCACAGTCAGAAGAGTTTGCGATCGGAATTTCACCCAATTGGAGGAAATCGTATTTTAACGATTATCGCAAACCTCTATAATTAAATTTATCATTTTGTGCTGGTCGCGAACCGAGTTCATGTGTCAAGTTTTCAATATATCTAGCAGTAGGAGGAGGGTCTGCTTACTGCTTATAGTTTATTTTGTTCGTTTTTTTTTCATATATCTTTCCCTTTTCCATTAGATGAAACAACTTTCAACGTTTATATTTTTATGTTTGCGTGAAAGTATAAGAAATCAGTATTCTCTTTTCCATGTTTGTAATCATGTTGTAAACTGTGTATTAGATGTCTTGAGTGTTGTCAACGAAAATATTCTATTCTACATTATTCTAGTTCCTCACAAGTCGAACTAGGTTTGGTTAGCCGCGGCGCTGGTTTTGAGTAGTGGAAGTAACTCCTAATACCTATCATTAAAAGAATGTTTATTTAGTTGTATTATTTCATTGGCTTCATGCATAGTATACTTCAAGCTAAATTAATATATAAAATCGCTTCTAATAAGAAAAAAAATATGACATAAAACGTCGTTATTTTAAATACACATACATTATTTGTTCATATTGTACATAATAATAATTACGTCTTAATTGCAATAAATATGTACAGTAATGATATTTTAGTTTGAGTGAGAGCTTTGTCTTATTTAACGATTTTTATAACATGTAAAAAAATAATTTAGGTATTACAATGATTTAACTTAAAATATTTCATATAAAAATAAAATTGTGCCAAATTTAACAATATCAATTATAGTAGTACAATCAAAATAGCACAACTGTGTCAAAACTTCAGTTAATTATTACAATACAAGTCAATCGATTAAATTAATTAAGTAAATAATGGAAATATAGACGTCAAATAAAATTATAATAATCACAGTACATAGATTTTTATATTTTCAATTAATTCAATAACTTACATCAATATGGTAAGTGCCATTTAATTTGCATGGTATATTATAGTTTATCAATATTTGCAATTTAATTAGTCATCAATCATGTACAATAAATAACTAAAAAAATGTATATAGATGTCAGATGGAAATATTAAAATGAAATACATGTCAAGGAATTTAGTTTAGTTAACATAAGTATGTCACATGCACATATTTAAAATTATTTATAAAACGCATTCATTCTTTAATTACTGATAAACTTTCCTTCGTTAAGGAAATTGAATTCGGATATTACTCGATCAGTAAACAAAAAAGTTTTCAGGGCTCAGGCGTCAATAAGAAGCCCCTCAATTTTCGTTATATCCGTCTGTCTGAGGCAATACGCTGACAGAGTGGTAAATTAAAATGTAGAAGATAAGTCGAGGTGATATAATTGTCTACTATCTACTGTATGAGGAATGTATGATTGCTTAAGCTGTTTATTACGCAGCTGTTCATACATATCGGATTCCTGTAGATTATTTTGGAAATTGGGGGGTTTATTTTGCAAATTATTACAATTTTATTAGTCCTTGATTGCTAAACTTGAATATGTCACACGTTCACAAAACGTATGTGGTGTTGGCAGTCTAATTAATACTAATAAAGAATGTTGACCATCGAAACTGCCAAATCCATCTGTCAACAAATGGTAAACAAAATTACAGAACGTCTTTTTCGATTTTGAAATTGATTAAAAATATATTTAGTGATATATAAATTTAGATGAAAATTATTAGCGGAAGACTTTTATTATCGTTATTTTTTTAAGGAAAGTAGATGATAGATAGTAAATACAGTAAACTACCGATTCTACCTCTTTTATAGTTACACGCGTATTTGTAAACGGCGAATATGTCCTACTCTTTCATTATTATTTTGTAAACGTTCCATAGATGACAATTTAATTACAAACTTATTTAAAACTGTTTGTGAAGTATTTCTAGAGTAGTTCCGTGTTTATCGGTTAGAGTTATTATTTTCGTATAAATTAACTTTATGCACGAAACAAGTAATTAAAATTTATAACAAGGAACTGCTTGTTTTTATAAATTCTCGTCAGTTTAAAAAGTGTTGTCACCGCGTTATTCAACAAAAATTTTGTAATAGACTTCGATTGACATTTTATGGCGGAAGAACATCCCGCAGTATCACGATTTATAGAATGACTTCATGAGTTTAAACGTGGTCGAAGCTAAGTCGCTGATGATTCGCGAGGATGTTCTTCGATGGCGACTTCTGAAGATAACGTGAATGAAGACTCTCATATCAATAGATTAGGGCAAGTTTAGACTAAAACTCTAAGCAAACAATGGTTTGAATCATGTACAATAAATCTTACGTAAACATTTAGACGTCAGAAAGTTGTGTACTAAATGGACACCTCATAGATGGATAATCGAAGCACCATCATTTGAACTAGTGCCGCCAATTATTGACAAATATGATAGAGGTTGCATAATCCTAGCTATATGATATCGTCACATGTGATGAAAGCTAGAATATTGTTACGAATCCGAAATTAAAAGGCAATGGATGTTTCCATCCGAATATTTACTGGCAAAAGTAAAAAAAAAGCAAACATTATTTGGACAGACAGGTCAGTTTGGAACATGTTTATGGCGTAGCTCTCGACTTTCAAAAGTGTTTGTAACAGTTTAGTCTGAATAAATAATAAAAAAAAAAAACAATTGTCCTAGACGATGAAAGGACTGTTACTGTATTGGAATATCTGGTGTTACGGAAAACATTTGACTGCAGCGCCCAAAAAGCATGATGAAAAAGCAAAAAGCAGATAGATTACTGAATATTTGTCGAGGTTAGTAAGGGCCAGTTTTTTGATCCGTAGTCAAATATCATTTCACCATTTGTTAACTTGACTAAAGTTAAAACAATAACAAGTTGTTAACTCGCTATTTCGTTTTTTGATGCCAAATTTAACCATAGCCAAATTTAACCACTGATCAATTTGTTGCCAGCACAATGAGTCGTTTTTTCGCTATACATTGACATGGGTAATTTTTTTCTGGGTGACAACACTAACGGTTTGAATGAACGGAGCGAACTATATACCATTTTTGACATTAGGATTTTGTTCTAAATATCAAATAGACGAAAGAAATCTATAGATTATCAAACAATGTGGATGTTTATGATTATTCTGTTGTGTGCACTATGTGTTATTTTTCAGGAAATATAATGGCAATTTTTTTAATAATGTTAGAAAGCAACAAAGATATGTTTTTTCCAGTTATTTTGAACTTAATTTTTTTATAAAAAGCATATATTTGTTTTTTATTTATCTTATAGAGAAATACGTGAAAATAATGTAGTATCTATACTAGATTGGGATTGTAATGTTGGACAATAAATCGAGGACTATATATTTTATGTACTGTAGGCATATTTACCTTTTGTATTGTCTATTCGTGGAATTTATAAGATTTTTAATATTTGAATAATTTGGCATTTGCCTGTGGAAACAAGAAAAATTATATCTACTATAGTACAAATATACTAAGGATGATCAAGATAAAAATATATCTTATTTTCAATAACCCTATAACCAAAAAATGACAATGAATATTTTCCTATGAAATTGCATCATAAAACGAAATCCCAAAAATAGCTAATGTCCAAATTCACTATGAAATCATGTAGGTAATAAAGACAACGTAAAAAACAATAACAAGGGTTCAAGTAAATACAACACAGTTGTACATCTGTTCCTTTAACAATTGGTCATTTACTTAACCTAGCTTCCAGTGATGGTTAAATTTTTTGACCAATGGTTGCAATTCTGACAATTGGTTAGGCTAACTATTAATCAAAAAACATATTTTTCTGATATTTAACAATTTGTCAAAGATTTTAACAAATGATTGAGTTAACCACGGATCAAAAAACTGGCCCTTAGTCACTCACAATCACCTACAATCCCGACTTGGCACCTTGTGAATTGTAGTTTTTTTATTTCTAAATATAAAAGATACACTCTTCTTTTTATGAATCCTGAAGGTGCCAAAGGTGAATTGGAAAAGATTTCTATATCATTACCCTCCAATTTACCAGTGAGCCTTAGTATTACAGATTTGAATAGTTCATACTTCAGCTAGTTTCATTATGTCTTGTTCTCTGATATGAAAAAACAGCTGTTCGTTGTTTTAAAAGTGATGTATATTGTAGCACCACAATGTGGCAGATCTGTCACTTCCCGAGTAAAAGATATCGTAAAATTATAATTTGTATAGTGTGTTTCATGTCGTAATAGTCTCATGATTTGGCAACATGGTGACATGGTGACTACACATATATTTATATGTTTATTGTGTCTACGTTTCGTCGA